ACATTCAATCGACGAATCCATGAGGGAGGACCTCAAAACACGATGTCAATTTGTAAAGTTTTGATTTGTTTGACTAAAATTCGAAACATTTTGAAACGGGAAGGATCTTTCCCATATGTTATTTATACTTCAAAAACGAGTAGCACGAGATGGAAAACCTTGGTCTGGTAAGCTTCTCATTAGGAAGAATTAACTCCTTCCACATATAATAATAATTGCTTTTCACGCTGTCAGAATGTCAGGAAAACAAGGAACACTACTCAGTCCCCGATACCCTACGTTCACAAGGAAGTTAGAGAAAAGCTAAAGACAGGTGCGTCGCTCGCCATAGTGCTGGAATCTGTTCTCCCTCTGATTTAATGTGCAATTAAAACGCTCACAACCTTTGGCAAATACATTGTACCTCCATGATTTATTTGACTTGTATAGAATGATACTGAGGTCAAGTTTTCTTCATGGTCTTTTTTTCTCACTCCGAATTTTGATCTAGTTTCATCTACATTTTCTAAATGTATCAGTTGTTTAGGAATGCTAAGACTGAAAATCGACATTTCATGGTATCCAAGAAGCTACCGCAACGTTTTGTCGCAAATTTTCGGTAAAGTCGCACTTCAATCGAAAAATCGATGAGAGAGAACTCCAAGACACCAGGTAAGTTTATTTAGTTTTACGAATGTTTGATTTATGTTATACAAATACTTAGAAGCTCAGTATTACTTAACTTAAGTCGGCCGTAAGAAATATACCTTACCGCCTGGTCAATGCATTCGTCAAGGGGTATGTTTGTAAGGAGAATCTCTACATCAAAGGTGATCATGAATTTGCCACACAAATTAGCAGATTGCACAGATATTTAGCCAGCTCACAGTTGTATGTTCCAATCAGAAGACTCTTAAACTCGTATAGCTTCCCACTACGTGATTCAACTATAAATCTGGACATTTGTATTGCATAACTTGACGGTATTCATCCCTAACACATCTTATCATTAAAAAAGTCGGTTTTCCGTCGAGGCTTTACTTGCAAGCTAACTTAATCTAATAACTACAACAGTGCATAAGCAGCCAAGACTCTTGGTCATTACGGTTTTTGCTTTTTGTCCCTATCTCTACACCGACTCATCGCCAGAAATCGGGGACATTTCGAGCCCGTTACGAAATGTCAGCGGTATATCGTCTTACAGACAATTCAGTATGCCGGCGGTGGAAGTGAAGGGAACACGTAACTTTCTATCTTCGTAAAACCCCACGAGAGAAAGGCCTGGTACTTTCTATCCCAGAAAGCCAAAGGAGAAGTCAAAACAAGGAAAGTGGCGGCCAAATTGTGCAGTTACTGGGACTTGTATCTTTCGTGTTCTTCCTTCCTAAAATTGGGGTCATCAAAAATGGCATATTTGGCTTTTGAGCTCTGTGAAAATAAGAAGAGTTTCCCGTCTCGAGGAAAATTTGTGAGCCAACATATTCGACCGTTTACGAGCGATTTAGTTTGAGCAAACTTCTGCAGAATGCATATCGATCTACGCTGTTGCGAATCTTCACAAGGTTGTTCCCACGACAAAAGAATTGTAACAACTAGTCGAAGCAGATTTTAAGAGTTTGTATGGGAAAATGGAGTGTC